CATCCATCAAATCCATGTCACCAATCAGCTCCTTATTTTCCACGTACCATATTTCCAGAAGGATCTGCTCCATGATCTTGTTGGGCACAGAGGTGAAACTGACTGGCCTGTAGTTCCCCAGGTCTTCCTTTTTTCCCTTTCTGAAAATGGGGTTATGTTTCCCTTTTTCCAGTCAGTAGGAAGTTCATCAGACTGCCACAACTTCTTGAGTATGATGGACAGCAGCTTAGCAGCTTCATCCAACAGTTTACTCAAGATCTGTGGATGCATCTCATCAGGTCTCATGGACTTCTGCACCTTCAGGTTCCTTAGATGGTCTTGAACCTGATCTCCTACAGCGGGTGGTTCTCTGGTTCTCCATTCTCCCAGTCTCTCTCTTTGCCTTCTGTGACTTGAGTAGTGCATCTTGAGCGCTTGCCAGTGAAGGCTGAGGCAAAAAGGTTGAGTACCTCAGCCTTCTCCATATCTCAGGTAACCAGGTCTCCCATTTCCTTCTGGAGAGGGCCCACTTTTTCCCTAGTCTTCCTGTTATTCCCTACGTACCTATAGAAGCTTTACTTGTTGCCCTTGATGTCCCTGGCCAGATTTAATTCTACCAGGGCTTTAGCTTTCCTAGTCTGATCCCTGGCTGCTCAGACAAATTCTCTGCATTCCTCCCAGGCTACCTGTACTTACTTCCACCTTCTGTAGGCTTCCTTTTTGTGCCTGAGTTTGTCCAGGAGCTCCCAGGACATCCACGCAGGCCTCCTGGTGTTTTTGCTTGACTTCCTCTTTGTTGGGACACATCACTCCTGAGCTTGGAGGAGCTGATCCTTGAATACTCATCAGCTTTCCTGGGTCCCTCTTCCCTCCAGGGCTTCATCCCATGGTACTCTACCAAGAAGATCCCTGAAGAGGTTGAAGTCTGCTCTCCTGAAGTCCAGGGTAGTGAGCTTGCTGTATATTAAAGGCACAGTATTTCTTTAAAAAACACTTTTCAGATTACCCTTTATCCCTGTTATGTTGCCCCAGCTTCAGTGGGCAGAATTACTGAATTTAACAGCTGTTGGAAACCACCAAGACCAGGTTCAAACCAGCCAAGCATATGTCATTTGAGACACACGGTAAAGCAATTCTCTGTGATCAAAATTTTTGAGAGGATACAAAAATCTGCTCATCACAACAGTGAAACAGCAAAGGACTTGGACGGGCAACTAGTCAACGGCACTCTTGACTGATCTTTTAATTATAGAATTCTAATGTTGTGTGCTGCACCTACTGCCTTGGTTGTACATAAGTTTACTTTCGTAACTTCACTAGAACTCATTGCTGTGCGTGGGGTTTTTTTTTCCCCTTTTAGGACTACTATCAAAGCCAGGAGGTGAAGCAACGTTTTATGGCTGCCATGCATAGCATTGCCCACCTGACGGCAAGAGATGTGGCTACAGCGTTCGATCTTTCACAGTTTAAGTCTGCTTGTGATTTAGGAGGTATTGCCTGCAATTCAACTTGCATACAAATTGAAGGGAAAAGCTTGATTTGAGTTCCATATTTTATTATTTAAAACATAGGTATAGTTTTTACTAGAAGTGCAGTAATATTATCCACTGTTGTTTTTCTGGTATTGTAATGTCAGAATAAAGGCCTGAGTGCGGTTAACTGAAAGCAGTTACTTAAATAGTATTTGAGTAGTTAGAAATAAGTGAATGTTATTTCTGGACAGAAAACAAGAGGGTTTGTGTCTCAGATGATAGAATATTGGACTGGGAGCTCCGTTTGCAACTGCGCTCTTCCTGTCCTTTGGCACGTTCAGGATTTTCAGAAATAATGTGGAATTTATTTCTGAATCCTTCTGCACTGGAGTGTCAAACCTGAGATGCTGCACTGCTAGAACAAAGTTTGGATTCTTTTAAATTGGTTTGTTTTGCCTGTTTTAATAATTAATATCTGAGATGACCACCACGATGTGTAATACCCATGTTACACCTGAAGAAACTCTTCTCGTTAGTGTCTCTTTTTGCCCTGTGCTTGGACTTGCACAGGGGGAGTGTTATTACAGAGGGAAAGATCCACTGAAGAAAGACTACTTGACATGCCATCCACCTCCCCCGGCACCAAGTAAGAGGGATTTACAACAGTACTAGTGCAACCTTTGCCACTTGTGCAGAGACTCCCAGACTTCAACATGCCTATCCTTCACCGTGTTGGAGAGTATTTGTCAAACTTCAGTCCCCTTCATTAATGTTCTACCCCACAAATAAGCCCTGAGGTAGTGGTGTCAAAGGTCATATTAGCAGTTTCGTGACAGTAAGGAGTCATGCCTGCATTCTCCAAGCTTTAAAGCATCGATCTATCCACCAGTAGCTGCTACCACTCACCTTAATTGTGGAGCTGACTGTCTATCATTCTGATTTGATGTCTTTATTTTAATATCCTATATAGCCATGTCTTTAAAAATTTCTGCAAATGCTGGGAGAAAAGACTTGATTTGACTTTTTTTAAACTTTGAACAGGTTGCACTGGAGCTCTGGCTCATGAATTAGTACAAACATACCCAAATCTCAAAGTCACGGTATTGGACCTTCCAGAAGTCATTGCAAACACCTCTCGCTTTCAGCCTTCAGGACAACACACAGCTCCAGTGACATTTGTATCAGGTAAATGCTTTGTCCTATTTCTGTTACCCTGGAGCACAGAGCAGGTTCTTCTGTTGCAGAAAATGGTGTGCTACCCTGTTCCAACCCCCAAACGTATGTCTTAATACAAGGCAGTGTAGGCTTACCTGTGCCAGGTTGTATTTCTCAAGCCTGTCGGGATTAAAAACAAACTGGGTATGATTGCAGAATATGGATAAATAAGGAAGTATGAATTCGTAATTTTTTGAGTACCCCTGGGAGTAGAGTCTGCATGTCTTTGTCTCAGGCTTCTGTTTTCTAGGCTCGATCAACATGGTGGCTACAGAGGACTTTGTCTCCTTCCTTGCTTCAGGCTTTTTCTTCTTTTTTATATGTTACAGAATTCTTACCTGTGATCTTTTCTCTTTAACTACGCTTTATCTGCAAATCAGTGCATCCCTGTACCTGTTCACGCTTGTTTTTTGCTTTACCTCTGTTGAAGCTCCTAGTTCCTCTGCAAAACTTTAATTTAATTTTGTAGGAATGTACTCTGTGGTTTCTGTAGGAATGTGCTAATTGTGCTTTCCAACAGGTGACTTCTTCAAGGATAACCTTCCAGAAGCAGATCTTTACATCCTGTCACGTGTGCTCCATGACTGGCCTGATGAAAAGATACATGTGCTGTTAAGCAAGATATCGGCTGTTTGCAAACCAGGTAAGTTTTTTATCTCTCAGGCTTAAAGGTTCATGTGAATGCATAAACGTAGTGAGTAATCCTAAGAAGTTCATATTAAAATCCCCATAATTTTCTGTCCAGTCATAGTAGCTTTTGATTGAATGTCTGTACTTGTGTTATGGTAATACCCACTAAGTAAAAAAGGAAACAAAGCTGCTAATAAAACTATGTAAAATAAACACTTACTGTAGTTGCAGATTTCACATAATACTATATCATCTTCCCTATCTGCCATGCCCAGTATCATCAAATAACTATATTGCTTATTTCTAGACATATGAGTAGCTTAACTGAATTTCCTTTAGGTTAATCAAGAAACAGGTTTATTTTGCTATCTCAGTAGTGCCCAGAATATGGTAAACTGGAGTTCAGGAATACTTCATGCACAGATTTCCTGAGAAATATGTAGCCTCTTGCGCTCTCTCCTGCATTTTGAATAGAGTATCTCAAGTTGGAAGGGACCCATAAGGATCATCAAGCCCAACTCCCTGCTCCTCGTAGGGTTATCTGAAACTCAACCATATGAGTAGGAGTGTCACCACGTGCTCCTTGACCTCTGACAGGCGTGGTGCCGTGACCGCTTCCCTGGGGAGCCTGTTCCAGTGACAGACCACCCTCTCAGTGAAGAACCTTTTCCTCACGTCCAACCTGCACTTCCTCTGGCACAGCTTCGCTCCATTACCTGGTGTCCTATCGCTGGTCACCAGAGAGGAGATCAGCACCTCTCTCTCCACTGCCTCCCTTGGGGAAGCTGTGGACAGGGACAAGGTCACCCCTCAGGCTTCTCAACTCCATGCTGAACAAACCATGTGACCTTGGCCAGTCCTCACAAGTCCTGCCCTCGAGGCCTTTCACCATCTTGGTCACCCTCCTCTGAATGCACGCTAGTAGTTTTATGTCCTTCTTATATCGAGATGCCAAAACTGCAGGCAGTACTCGAGGTGGGGCCGCACCAGTGCAGGGTGGGACAATCACCTCCCTCAACCAGCCAGCTGTGCTGTGCTTGATGCTCCCCAGAACAAGTTTGGGGCCTTTGGCTGCCGGGGCACACTGTTGACTCATATTTGGACAGCATTAAAGGTCAAAGGAGAAGATGAAAAGCAGAAAAGTCTGACTGCTAAGATCAACTGATTCCTTAATCCAACAGGATTAACTGTAGCTATGAAGTTTGTTTCATAGGAGAACATTCAAAATTAAAGCTAGGCCATAAAGCATAATCCTGTTTATAAATTAAGAAAAGAAATGATGGGTGACTGTCTTAATCTCCTTATGCAAAGACTGGGGTATGTCAGATGCTTACAGGAGATGCTTGGTTCAAACGGAAACAAGACCGAGTTTAAACTCTGAAGTAGTCAGGATGTGATCTGAACGTCACTGAAGAGGAGCCAGTGCTCTAAACTCCCTGTTCCTTTTAACAATTAATGGTTGCTTCCAGGAAGACATTAGTGAAAGTAAAGTCCTGTCACTGACTTCCACTGGAGACCATTAAAACACTAGTCTGGGGAACCTCTGTAAGTGTCTCTAGACAAAACACTAAACTTGTAGCTAAAACTACTTTACTGAACCACTTTTGGTTGTTTTGGAAATGCAGGAAGTGCCTTGCTAGTGGCAGAAACTGTGCTTGACGAGCAGAAGATGCACCCTCCCAGAGCAGTACTACAGTCCCTCAGTATGACTGAAGGCAAGCAGAGAAGTGGCTCAGAATATAAACGGCTACTGGAGAAATACGGATTCACAAATGTACAAATTAAGATCACAGGAAACTTGTTAGATGCTGTTTTGTGCTTCAAGAGGAATTTGTCACCGTAGTGTGCCCAGAAGCAAACTGGGGTGCTGAGTTTTTATAACACTTGTGCAATATACCCATCATCAACCCGCACCTATTGTCAGTTTAGGGTCATTTTGACCCTTTTTCTGGAGCATAGTTGTTATAGGCCTTGAATAAAAGTTGGACTGCAGCTTCTGCAGGAGTAAGTTCTGTCCATTTAAAAAGTGTCTGGGATGGGCTGAAATGCCTGTGTGTTAAACTCCTTAATGTCAACTTCTTTTGACTGGTTTGCAGACCATGTTAAGCTTAGACTCTACATAGCTGTGTAGCATGGCAAGTTAAAACTATACAAGCTTCTATAAGCCACACTAATACCTTGGTTTTCTTGGACCTTAAAATTAAAGAGAACTCTCCCTCTGCAGTAAATTAGGTGGTTACTGCTCATTTTTATCAGAAATGAAAAAATAAAAACAAATACTGTACCATCTGTCTGAATTTGGGGATGATGGTCCTCTCTTTCACTTTTCTGTGGGGGCTTTACTCAAAAACATCTCAAGGATGCAGTTCTTCCGCAGGCAAAAGTGAAAATAGGACAAAGTTCAAACGTGTTCCTGCAGCAGCTGTAATGTCACAGAGAAACTTCATCAGTCTCTGGTCTCGTGCCGCCGTGTTATACCCACACAGGCAGCAGTTGAGGCCTGTTCCTATCAGTTTGGGGTTTTTCTGAATATGATTAAATGGACATATGTGCTTTCTGTCTCATTACTTGAGATGAGTTTCAGGATTTATGTATAAATTCTCTTATGGAAATTAAAAATAGAATTGTCTTTTATGTTCCAGTCTTTAATTGGAGAAGTATATACTGTGACCCATCTCAAGTAAAATGTCACTCATGTCACCTCTCCTAATGTTCATTTTTCCCTGATACTTCGTTGATATTTATTTTTTCTATTTAAAGTGTACTTTGTAGTGGAATCCTTCCTGGAGATTAAAGTTGCACTTTCAAACTAGCTTTCTTCTCTATCAGTTGTGACTTTCTTGCCCATCACACTCCTACAGCAATAATCCAGTGGGGAAGAGTCCGTTCCTCTGCTGACTTGCCAACCTTAGCAAATTAAAGAGAGTTGATGAACAAGGTCAAGAGTTGCATCTGCCTGGTAGACCCTCTTTTTTTTTTTTTTTTAATGCTACTTAGAGGTTACTTTACTCTTTGAGCACTGAGTAAAGCAGAAGTGCCACAGCAATTCCATTCATCATGAGAAACATGCTTACAACACAGTGTTTCAGCTGCACGGTATCAGGAAAATGTCAGACTGTTACCACAGTGGAGTTTTTAATTCCTAGCGGGTTTTTATGAATGGCCATTTGATTGTTCTGATCTGTACAGACACATTTAAAGAGATACGGCAAAATATTCCACAGCTGAAGAAATCTAAGTTGTTCCTTTTCCGTACTGACGTGAAGCTCGCCACTGTGCTGAACAGGTTTGTGTTTTGAGAGAGACTCATTCTAGCAATCCAATGTTTCTCATCTCAGTTACTCATAAAATTCATAATGTTGTTCTCAAACAGCTTTCAGCAGCTTAAAGTCAGAAAAACTCAGTCCTGCAGTTGGCATACCTGTAACTGTCAGAGACTTTAAAAATGTGCCTCTGAGTACTGTGTATTTGCCTGTAAAATCCGACTAGAATGTGCTTGGCTACCACACCACCCCAGTGCACTCTGTGATTAAAGCACAACACTCTGTGCGCTGAGCGTTAGCCCCTTGGGCATGGCGACGTGCTGCTGTTCTGCACTCACGGGATAATTAAACACTGGAGCAGGTTGCCCAGAAAGGTTGTGGAATCTCTGTTCTTGGAGGTTTCAGGATCTGAGAACAAAGCCCTGAAGGAGCTGAGCTGATTGTAGAGCTGCCCTGCTTCGACTGGGAGGCTGGACTAGGGATTTCCTGTGGGGCATTTCAGCCTAAGCTATGTTTGATGTAGCCCAGTCACCTGAGCAATGATAAACTCTTCTTCTCTCATTAATGTCCAAATTAAGTTTTTCAGTTACCCTGGAGTCGCTGACTCCTGGAAGGGGTGGATTTAATGGTATTACACTGAGATGACTTCCGAAGCAGTAGCCGTAACTGAGAAAAATTGGGGCCTGTTCACTAATCAAGACATGAAGAATGAGAGAGCTGATTTTTAAAACCCAAATTAACTTCTGCCAATAAAGCCTGTAGGTTTGTTTTGCTCCTTGGAGAGTGACAGTTGGGGCTGCCTTCTCGAGGATGCTGTCTGTTACCCACATTCTGCCTTAGCAACAGTTTAGAGGAAATGTGATGTACAGAAAACAAGTTTTTGAGGTGGAGGCTTGGGGGAGGGGGTGCTTACAGCATGGTAGGTGGACAACAGAAACAAGAGCTGCAGCACTTGCTCACTGAACACTGAGGTAAGAATCCTTGAGGAAGATAGAAAGAGAAGTTTGTAAGAAACAGGAGACACAACTTGGTTGGCTGTCCGAGCTCAATCATTTTTATATCCCTTTTTGGCCTCGTTACAGCTATAACCAGTACTTGTGCCTGGAAAAGTAATGGGACAGGAGCAATAGTAGTACGTCGTCTGAGCCACCCAGCACAGAAGCTTAGGAAGGGCTATTCAGTGGCAAAGCCCCTTTGTGTGAGCTCTGCGTTCAGTTTTGGATGTGTGAGCCGAGTCCTGGATAGTAGAAGTATTTAATGTGGGTCTTTTGTTTTGAAGTAAGTTTTTGGAGGGCTGGGATTTTACCTCCCTCCCCCCAATACACACCTTTTGGCTGGGAATTACGTCCTTGCTAGACAATGATAATCTGGATTTTCTCATTGGAAAAGACTGTTATGACCATTAATTTTTTCTCCTATAAAACCATGGCCAAAATTTCTTCATCAGAGTGTGCTCCCTGAAAGGGTTGCAAGTTAGTTCTGTTTCAGTGCCTGTCATGAAGAAATTTCAGTTACGTTAGTAAATCTTCATTAACTGCAGGGAGATTTTTTTTTTCTTTTTTCCCTGCACTAACTTAATTTACTGTGTCTAATTTTTGAAGGTAGTGTTCTCCTTCTTGGTTGTGCTTGCTGGGTATATTTTTCCAGATTACCGTGACATTATCTAGATGTCCCAAATAACTTTTCATGGCAGATTATAATGACCATTCTATTTGTGTCCTCCTTGCAGAGTGTACAGAATTTGGACACCGTCTTTCAAAGATGTGGTGTAATAGTGACTTAGAAATTAAAGTCTAGGTAGTAGTCTAGTGCATTACTCTACTTAGCAACGTTTGCTGTGTAACCAGGCACAGCAATTCCCAGCTCTCTCTGTTGAAGGCAAAGGAGAGTCATACAGGAATGGGAGGAGGGAATAGAAACCACTGAATCATAACAAATGGACTTTGTAACCCAAACTTTAGATATCCAAATATTGGGAATTTTCAGAGGATGATTCATCTTACTTAATCTGTGAAAGGCAATTTCCTGGTTTTCCTAATAAAAGTGATTGTACATTTAATAGTGGATAGAGCGTATTTAAGAGGGCTAGCTGAAATACAGCTATCTAATTTAAGGATGACTGAATTAGGGGAGAAGAATCCCACTGGAGAGAGAATTGAGGTTCAGGCACACCTCAGACATGCCTGGCTGATCCTTTCTCTTTGTGAGGCAAACCTGTGTCATGGGTTCATCGCAGAGTAGGTGGCTTGAACCTCGCATTTAGTAAGGGAGCTGATGATAGCGGGAAAAAAACAGGGGATTTATTAATAAGCTGACAGAAGCTTTAATGACTCCTGGTAATTAATGCTGAAGTCTCAGCCAGCAATTTTATCTGCAGATCTCAGTCTCTTCTCCAAGAAACTGCACTATTATATTTAATTTACTTTTTGTCAGTTGTTAAATGTCTGAGGTGTACAGGTAGGAATAGCTCTGAGGAGATTGTCTTAAGAGTCAGAAAGATAGCGATGTTACGCAGCATTTAGTAGTACTAAAATCACTGTAAAATGCTGCTATTCTGATCTGAGTCGGTGGCCTCCTGCCCGCACTGTGCCAAGAGAAGCCACCACGTAAGATGCGAGGCGAAAAGACAAAGCGTAAAACCATGCCCATTTTGTCAGCGGCCCGCTCTTGTCTCCCCTTTCCGCTGATGGGTCTGAAGATGGACGAAGAAGCTGTGTGTAAACGAGATCATTGAAATCCTGCTCGCACCCCTAGGTCACCACAAAGGCCTCAGTTCCTACAGAAAGTGTGCAACGTTGGCCTCTTTGCTTCTGTAATGCTCGCCATCCACGGTTTTGTCTGCGTGGCACCACTGCGGGGTGAAGTGAGACAGCAGTATATCCCAGAGAGAGAACTTCTTTTCCCATCTTACTGCTTTCCACAACCCTCGTGCCAAGTCTACAGAAGTCACCCCCTCTTCCTCTGAGAACAGAGGCGTGACTTGACTTGCGAGGGTTTGATCCCTCCATAGGGTGGAAGGGAATTTCCTGGGCTTGCTGAGGAGTGGATTATACATTTAATAGTGGATTAATTGTTTACTAACAGAGCAAATCTGTAAATGATAAATGAAATCGCCCGTGTCTTGTAGTTCACACCCTTGTATACAGTAGCAGAAATTCGTCTTGTCCGATAATGGATTAGTACTGTTGCATGCATTTGTTTTTAAATTAGGCTGTGGGATTTTGCTGGCTGAAACGGTGCTGGATGGTGATAAGAGGAACAGGAGCACAGCTCTGCTGCAGTCTTTGAACATGCTTGTGCAGACGGAGGGAAAGGAGAGAAGTGGCTCTGAATATCGAGGCTTACTGGAACACCATGGATTCACAGATGTGAAAATCAGATTGACAGGAAATTTGTTAGATGTCGTTGTCTGCATTAAGTCCTAGGAAAAAAAAAAAAAAAGATTTAGTAGTAAAATCCGGATGTCTGCAGTCATGTTTGATGTCTTTGTGATTATGCAAATACATTCTGTTTCCCGTCGACATCATAGGTAAGAAATGTTACATCAGCTTTCTGGTTACTTTTAAAAAGGGGAGAGCCTGATGGCGTTTATTTTGAACTGAAGGAAAATGATGCCAGAAAATTCTCGTGGCAGTGACAGTGGGGCTGCACCACATCTCGGAGGTACCTTCAGAAACGAGTCTCCAGCTACGAATGGCGTCAGCAGCCCTGCGGCAGTAGTCACGTTGCTGAGAAATGTTTCTTCGTACTTGGTGCAATTGGAATAATCTGGTTTTTAGATCCGCGCACGCTGCTTTGCCCCTGTTTCAGGAGGCTATGGCAGGTATCATTTCAGTACTCCATCACCATCCGTTTTAGTAACATTTTGTGTTACACTCTAAAGAGAGAAACATTGTCTAAAGAAGCTTCGAAACTGCTTTTGCAGTGGTGTAGTCAAGACTGGAAACAAGAACTGGAGCAGCAGCTTCTCAGGAGAGTCAAGATAGGCTTCTCTGCCTTCTGTGAGGTTTCTGGAAAAAGGCGATTTTAGAAAATCACACGTTTCATCTGTGGATTGTAACTGGAGAGGAAATGTGGGGGCACCACATGTGGTTCAAGAACATCCTCCTCCTCCTCCTTTTTAGCCCTGCTTTCTTTGTGAGCTCTGACAAAAGTGGATAGCAGAGCGTGAGGTTAGATAAAGAACAGAAAAGAAAACAAAGTGCAGGCACAGAAGGAAAAGCATGGTGCTAAAGAGAAAAGGATGTTGCCCAGTCACATGTATCTGGGCTACCGAGGTTAACGGGACAGGACGACTATTGACTGAAGAGTTTCCTACCACACAAGTTACTGACGTTGTACCTTCCTCTTCTCAAATCAACAACGCTTCGGAGTATGAAGTTACTTTTTAACCAACAGAAAATTTTATGGGGAGAAAAAAATCCCAGCCTTGCACACATTGTGTTGTGTTATGAGAGTATTACCAATCAGTTTGGAGCTTTCCAAAAAGAAAAATACCACAATAAGCTGTGTGTGCCTGACTGAGAATAGGCAACGCAGCCTTTCATTGATTACATTCAAAATACGGTCCTGTAACACTGTACGTGCCTAACCCTGCGTGGGCACAGGATTCACTTCACTGTCTCTGTATTATGATTTAGGATATAAAATAGCACACAATTTACTTCACGTCTTTTGATGTGGAAAAAAAAGAAAAGTATAGTGGTGTACGTAATACATGGTCTGTCGTACCGCAGCAGAGACAAAGGCTATGCCTGTCACATCCTGTTCTCACAACACGCCCTCTGGGAGAGAGACTCTCGTTTTGAAATCCTGCAAAGTACATACGTGTGTAAGCAGTGGTTACAGACACCTCAGCTACTGCAACTTTGTGGTTCACCAGTCATCTATTTAAAAAAAGCATTTGGCCTTATTTACTTTTGTAAGAAACATCCATTCAAAGTGAAAGCAGTAACCAGAGGTGCACTTGAACTAATGGCCTCCAGCTAGAACAATTTCCAGACTTGTAGAAAGGAGTAATTTCAGACAGACGCTTGGCCATTAGGTGTAAAATGTCACTTTCAGCATACAGTACAATTAGCAGAAGTCGCTGATGGTGACCAGGCCTGTCCGTGTACGGGACAGAGGCCCTGCCATCAGCGCCTGCTCGGGCAACCTGCGGAAGGGCTTTTCGTGGTGCCTAACTTCTGAGTGCCCAAACAAGAAGCCGGGACCACGCTTCCCTGTCATCCCTCTGGGAAACCGTGGTTCCATCCGTTGGCATTTCATCGTCTCGCACCAGTTCAGCGGCTGACAGCAAAGGCCGCCACGTGACGCGTGGCACCGCCGTGGTGAGGAGGGGCAGGTGGGCGCACAACCTGGGAACGAGGAGGTGACTTCCATCAGCGTCGCCCTGGGGGTGGCCAGCACAGGGCGAAGCCCACCTGCACCCAGTGCCCCGCATCGGCTGCTCTCCC